CCACATCCGTCCGCCAATCCGGCGGATGTAGATTGAGCGGATTGGCGGTTTGGCGGATGGATGCGAATCAGTTTAGCGGTTTGAAATTTTATAAATTTTCAACATAATTCAACTTGTGTACTTCCTCAAAAAAAAAAAAAAAAGAAAGCAATAACTTAATAAAGTATTACAATTACTGCATGTATCATCCAAAGAAAGAAAGTTTGAAACTTTAGAATATCACAATCACTGCATGCCTCATCCACATAAAATATTACAATCTGTGGTTCTTAAAATATAAAAACAATTCAAACCATCAAAACTATGAGCAAAGCAATAGTGGAGATTGTATGTCTTTGTATTGTTACATTTATATATGTTTTTGAAAATAAAAACCAACTAGCATATGTTATATGTTATATTTTCTACTTATTACTTTTAGAGTTAGATTTAAAAATCAAAAAATATAGATAACTAATATGTTTATTTTTTTCAATTCAAAAAATATATCTAAGTTGAAAACTTTTTTTCAACAGAATATTTGAACTCTTTTTCAATTGAAAACACAAACAAAATATTTAAACAAATTGAAAACACAAAGTCTTATAAATTACTAAGGGTGCTCGCGGTTTGGCGGTTCGATTGCGCCCAAAGGAAGTTCAAATCCGTCATCCGTCCGCCAAATTGGCGGATTGGAGAAAATCAATCCGCAACCATCCGCTCGTCATCACGCATCCGTCCAAAATGCGGCAGATCGGTTCGGTTCGGTCGGTTTTGGCGGATCGGTATATCCGCTGCTCACCCCTAATTCCTACCACTCTATTAATGAATTAATTATTAATGTATTTAATTTTTTATATTTTTAATAGTGACATGAATAATTCAGATCATTTTGAAGGTTATGGAGTTGTATTTTGTGGGGTCTCTATCATTACTGCATACATAATATTGATAATGATATATAAGTATAATTTTATATAAAATTTTCATAAATAATAATGTGGCTTCATGTACTTCCTTCATCTCCAATCAAAACATTCACCGTAATCTTTATAATTTTTAAGATAAATTATAAATAGGCCTCCTGAGGTTTGATTAAAATACGAATTATTCCTTGTAATTTTAGAAATTATATTTCACCTCCTGAGTTTTTAATTTTATAACAAATCGCTCATTTTATGAATAAATTATCAATTCAATTAACAATTTTTAATGATATTGGAAATATGTTTCAATTAATAATTTAAGTAATTTCATTATTATGTAGGAGAGTAATTATAAATTTTATTTTTTTAGTTAATTTTGTTAAATAAAAAATTCTGACAATGGGTTATTTGTAATTTTTCAAATCACATGAGACAATCTGTACTTTAAGTAAATCTCAAAGGGTGTATTTATAATTTACCCTAATTTTTATAAATGCAATTGATACATTATGTTGAATGTGTTTTTTTTTTTGTATAATTTTCTATTTACAAATCATTTCCCTTATAATATATGTATGAATATTACTATATTTGTAATATTAGTCTATCAACAACTTTGATTCTTTAGAATAGATTTTTCTTTATTCTATTATTTTTTAGTTTTCAATTTGAGAACTTTACTTCAAAATACGTATCCGATTTTTGAAATTGACCTTTTAATTTTACAATATTTTAGCATTAATTGAAAATTTCACTGACTTTCCACAGTAAAATTTCATTGTTTTGATAATAGCAAACACAAATACTAAATTTTCACTATCTTTGCATAGTGAAATAGACATTGGAATTTCACTAACTAGACTTAGTGAAATTTCAATGTTTCAATAATATGAAATTTCATTGTTTCAGTAATACCAAACATATACACTGAAATTTCACTGACTTCAGTCAATAATAGTGAAATTTCACTTGCTAGACTCAATGAAATTTCATTGATTAAACTCAGTAAAATTTTACTGACCAAGGATAGCAAACTCAGTGAAAATTCATCAATTTTTTTTTGTTCACAATTTCATATTCATCACAGATCTTGTTTGATAGATCTTGATGAAAGGATTTCAAAAATATAAATTTTAACAAAACTAGAGATCTAGATCAAAAGTAATTTTTTTTTTTTTTTTCAAAATATGAAAACAACGTAGTTGCTATGTGTTACTTGATTTCAAGTACTACCCTATAGGGTAGTTTTGTCTAAAAAAATACTATATACTACGGAAGGATTTATACTAGTAAGAGTTAGTTTTGTGTCCTTTGGCTGATAAGAACTAATAATAAGGGAGTTAGAAATAAATAAACCCTTTTGCTTTATAACTTTTCTCAAAAAATAATTGCTGAATAAATTTCAATACAACAGTGATACAACTCCATCTTTGATATGTAGAATCATCATCCAATTATAATATATAACATAGAAAAGTGAACTCTACTATGCAATTGTAACTATATTGTCCAACTGATCTCACTAATTGACACATGGCTTCGTTTGGTGTAACTGTTAAAATAGATTATAGATTATAGTTTAACAGATTCTAGATTATAACCTTAATCATAAGCTGTTAATCTGTTTGGTGTAGCTGTTGGATTATAGATTTAAGTTGTTGAGTAGTATTTGTTAAATAAGTTATGAAGTAACTTTTTGCTGTGTAAATGTCTTTCTTACCCATGTTAGTTGTAAATTGAATTTATCTTGACATTTTGCTATTAATTACATATTAAGAGATCATTCCAACACCAAATTAACATAATGATTTTATTTTTAGATAATAACAATGATATAAACATTACACAAAATTAAATTTATTATATTTTAATAATTATTTCCTTCAGAAATTGACATTAAAATCTCATATCTTCTCGAATCCATCTCATAATCATCATTATGAACCGAATGTCCATGTCAGTATTTCCCTACCACTACTTCTTCGCCAATAGGGACATACTCAATATGTTTATCATAGGAGTCAAATGCAATATCCCTTAAATTAGTTCGTTTAATGAAGTTGTGGATCGTCCTGGCAGCACAAACAAGTTGCCGTTGACAAGCAGAATTGTAATTGCATGGAATATCTCTCATAAAAGGCCATCTTGTTTTCCAAACACCAAATGATTTTTCTATTACGCTCTTGAGCGATGAATGTGTTTTGTTGAATCTTTCATGTGCAGTTTGAGGAGGCCGATGGTCAAATTGAGCTAATGATATCTCTCTCCTTTATACAACGCAAGATAACCCTTTGTGTTTGGATAGCCAAAATCAACCAAATAATACTCATCTACAAAGTTAAATATGAACTCATTACAAATATAACTAATATAGAATAAACGAATAAATCTTAATTTGTGTTACATACATACCTCCTTTTGGATATGGAAAATTATTGTTTGGATTCCTAATTGTATCCCAAAAATTTTGCGTGTCATGTGCACTTTCCTCCCAACCAGGCAAGCAAAAGGTGAAACACATATCAAAGTCACACACTGCCAATATGTTTTGTGCATCGTATCTCTCCCTACCTATGAAACGGGGTAAGCATTTTGCTTCCACATGAGGTTTGATATGTGTTCCATTAATTGCCCCAATGCAATTCTACATACAAAAAATATCATAAAATATTTTTTTTAAGAGAGAGAGAGTAATTATTTCTAGTTACTTTAAAATTAGGGTAATATTTTCAGCTATTCTTTATGTACGGATGGACCCCATTTCTCTGCCAAGGCTTCACCCAATCCACGAACATTTTCACACACCCTTTTAAAACATAGTGGAAGTATTTTAAAATAGTTTCACCTGATAATTGAAATCTTTCTTGAGTATTTCTATTGTTTGCATGTTAACCAACAATAAACAAAAAAACAGCAACTTTTTGTTGAACCCCAACTTTTTTCTCACTTTGTAGTTCGTAGTTAGTCTCTAATAAATTGCACAATTGATAAAAAAAAATCCCTGTCCATTCTAAAATTTTCTTATATTCTTCTAGTATTACCATGTTGCAATTCTAACATCCATTGATGTCCTATGAGGGCAGATGTCCTACATGGTTGTTTATTTAGGTAATTTTCTGCATACATTGTTCCTCCCACTGCTACTGCCATTAGGTAGGGATTCCCATACGGGTGATTTGGTTGCTGTGAAAATTTGGCGACATTGTCATCATTATCATAATCACCAGCATCATTGAAATTATCCATCTTTTTATACTGTATAGAAATTGGGGTCATGTACCACATTCATTCAATAAGAAATTAATTTAACACATAAAATAAATATAAAATTAGTGGATATATATAGACAAAAAATAAAATTAGACAAACATCAGTAGCACACCTATAAAGATTGGAATGCCTCTTTGTTGTTTAACAATTCAGAATGGCAAACAAGTTCACCATGAAAGTATATATAGACAGTGTCATTGCAATGGCCATCATTTAAAATAATATTTTTTTAAAAATTGTTTTCCAATCTTGCGGGCAAATGGACAAATAATAGCTAAAACCTGTGACTTGGAATTGTAAGGACAAATAATCACATGGCACACAAGTGGGCAATACAACTTGCAATAATACTTCTTATTCCACCCGTGAGAGCACAAATTAAATCTGCCAATAAGGCAAACATATATACAACATCAAGCCAGATTAATTGAAGATAGTCCTAATGAAAAGAAAAAAAAAAAACATTCGCACAATGAACTAATCATGATAATCAGGAATGCGAACCTTTTCCAAAACAATTTCAAGATTAATATACTTCAAACGCAACACATCATTAGGCAAAGCTATGAAAAACTCACGAAGTGAGGGCTTCATGAACAACCTTGCAGCCCAAACTAAAAGGTCATCGTCTTCACTAACGCCAGAGATTGTGCTAATCTTAGCCAAACACTCAGTTATTGTGTGCGGATTTTGCATAGTAGCATTCTATGTACCAGTTGAAGATGATGCCTCCATAACATCGACAATGCAGTTAAGTGTCTTACTCAACTCACTGACAGCCGATTGTTTTTTGTTCCCCTTTTGCTTCTTTGATGGACCCTCTTTTTAACGACAAAATTGGTTGCACAATTCAGAATGATGGATTTCCGTATCAGTATCATCACCAAGCGGGGTGTGAGATCCCTCAGTGTCAAGAAATACTCCAGAGCTTGGGATGTATGCCCACTCACCAGTTGCAGAAACATCGGAGAATACTATGTCTATGTCATCAGCCAATATCAATGGCTTATCACAAAATCTGGCCGCATCAGGATACCTCTATAACAAAATATGGACAAATAATTACAAATGTATAAATCATAAAGCTCAAGTACAAGTGAGCAAGAAAAAAAAATTAACATAATTCACTGACCTGCAGCTTCAAATTCCATCAATCATTAGATGCCATGATAGCTCCAGTCAAGGGATTTAACCCTAGCTCAGTCTCATCAGCCGATTGTTTTTTGTTCCCCTTTTGCTTCTTTGATGGACCCTCTTTTTAACGACGAAATTGGTTGCACAATTCAGAATGATGGATTTCCGTATCAGTATCATCACCAAGTGGGGTGTGAGATCCCTCAGTGTCAAGAAATACTCCAGAGCTTGGGATGTATGCCCACTCACCAGTTGCAGAAACATCGAAGAATACTATGTCTATGTCATCAGCCAATATCAATGGCTTATCACAAAATCTGGCCGCATCAGGATACCTCTATAACAAAATATGGACAAATAATTACAAATGTATAAATCATAAAGCTCAAGTACAAGTGAGTAAGAAAAAAAAAATTAACATAATTCGCTGACCTGCAGCTTCAAATTCCACTAATCATCAGATGCCATGATAGCTCCAGTCAAGGGATCTAACCCTAGCCCAGTCTCATCTCTCAACAGATTTTTCCAAAGACCCCACTCCTTTTTAAAGATATCCTAACAATTTTTAAGTTGAATGCAAACATATGACTTTCCAGTTACAATTTTGAACTTGTTAATAACTGCTTCCCAACCAACCCTATCTAAGTGTGTACCAGGTCTGTGACCTGCTTTCACTTGCTCCACACAAAGTTTGACAAAAATTTTAATGGATTTTGTGTCCCAATGTGCCTTTAAACCTTGTGAGGGTTGGGAGTTTTGGGAAACTTTTCCCTTGCTCTTTGTAGTTGTTGGAGATTGTGATGGTGGTTGGGAACTCATTTTCTATTAAACAAACCATAATAATAAAAACACTTGAATTGCAATAATGGTTTGAACAAACCCTTACTCATATTATTAAAAACCATATCAACAAAAAAAATAAAAAACAATCAAAACCAAGTTAATTTTACATGGCCTTGTCCCATTTTGAAAACATTGGATATGAACAACATGAATTAATAAGAACATGTAAACAAAATAAACTTCAGAATAACAGTGAAAATAAAGGCACATAATCATTCCAACAAGTAAAGAAAATCATTGTTGTCATATTCCTACACTTAAAAGCAATTGCATACTTTAACAAGCATTATTTAAGTGTATATCAACTAATTCATTGTAAAATCTAGACCAAATTAAAAATACACAGTAATAACCTATCTGTGTTCTTGAGAGCATTATCTATGATCTTAGGCATCATACAAGTTCATCTACTGATTGAGGGATCCAAGAAAATTCTGAATATCGGATGAAAGAAAAAATTAGAGAAAATTCTAAATATCAGATGGAAAATATGTGTGTGTGTGTGTGTGTGTGTGTGTGTGTGTGTGTGTGTGTGTTAAGCACTCCTTCAAAGCATTAAGGAGATACTAGCATGATTGGGTTCAAGGGCACATGCCAATCAGTTATGAGCCCTCCAAATCATATATAGAGAACTAAGACTCTGGAGTACTAATTTAATTAGCACAAACAAGTCTCATTGTTCAAGAATCAATTTCAAAACATTTCAGACTTTAAGATACTAATTGTATAACATAAATATCAAATTCACATCTCCAACAAATACACAATCCAAACAACTTCAAGGGGTCATACAGTCACCTATAAGAAATGTAGCAAATAAACCCTAATAGTAGTACCAGAACAATAGCCTTTAATCATAATTGTTAATTTTTATACATTGGCAAAATAAACAAACAAACAAATGTTAATTTTTCAAAAATGAGATTCAAGGGGGAGGGAAATACTCCATTTGGTTGCCCAAAAACTGCAAAGAAAAACAACTAAAAAAAATTACAACTTTTTTAAGTAATTATTTTTCGTCTAGTTGACTTCAACATATCCATAGATCATTATTGAATGCGTGGAAAATAAGTTAAAATTAATGTGAGATCCAAAAGTTTGTTTCATTCTTTTATCTCTAGAATTTTCTGGGCAACCAAACACTATTTAGATAGAACAACTCTAAAATTTTCAATTGTCGAGCCCTAAATATGAATTTTAACAACAAAAAAACCACCAAAAAAAAAATTCAAGAAGAAGAATTAGAAAATAATTGATTCGAACCTTTTGATTTGAAGAAGATTGAGATCGAATTTAGGTTTGTAGAGAGTCTCAGATACATTAATAAACCATAAATCAATGCAATGGCAATCAACATCCTACACAAATTTTTAACGTCAAAGCATGAATAAAATTTCCCAAAATTTTTCCTAAACCCTAAATAGTCTTATTTTCTCTAATTTCAAACAAATTTAAAATAGACAAAATCACAAATAACCAAACAATATATGTATATATACATGTATGCCGAATCCAATGCAAGAGAGAAAAGGAAAAATCGAGAGAGATGAAGGAAAAGAGGTGAATAGAGAGAGCGAGAGTGCAAGAGAGAAAGAGAGAAGAGAGAAGAGAGAAGTGATCCAGAGTCGGAAACGAACCACAGCTGCACGTCGCCGGAAGCGAACCAAAGCCGGAAACAAACCAGAGCCACACGTTGCCGGAAACGAAATAGAGCCGCAAGTCTTACTATTTGCGTTGCTGCTTGTTGATGCGTTTTCTCTTGCCAAAGAGAAAGATTAAGGCTAAAAAGAGTATATATATGTAGTATAAGAGTAAATACTTTAAAACACTAAGGGCATTTAAGTATTTTTACCCTTTTCCGCTTGGGGGTGAGAATCTGAAGCACCTTGGAGCAACTTCTGAAATTCAGCTAATTTGCCCTCTGCATAAGTTGATAGAAGTATAAGACCTCGTTTGGGAGTAACTATTATAGCCAAAAAGTCATTATAAGTTGTCACGTCACTCTTTCTATTTTTCTACACATCTTTTCGTAAAAAATTAAAAAGTTACTAAAATTGCATGTTCTCAAACGAAGGCCTAAGTTTTAGCTGATAGAAGTCTAACAAACAGTTTGCTTCTGCTTTTCTTAAGCTAAAAGCTATAAGTTGGGTTAAGTAATCTGGAACAAACACTCCCATAACATGGTATAGCCATTTCATTGGATTTTTTTTCTCGATAATTGCCAACACCTCCAAACCTTTAAAATTTTGGATAAATTATATTTTATCATTTTATATTTGGTTATTTTTTCACTTTGACCTTCTGTGTTAAGTTTTATTTTTCAATTTACTTCAAATGCTAACTTATATTCAAAATTAGACATAAAATGACACATTGACAATAACGTGACATAAAAAAAAAGTAAATTAAAAATAAACCCCCCTAAGGATTGCTTAAAATACGAATTGCCTCATGTGGTTTAGAAAATTACAAATACTTCATTGTCAAAAAATTTTATTTAATAAAATTAATTGAAAAAGTAAAATTTCTAACTGTTCACCTATACAATAATAAAATAGTGAATTACACTAATAATTCCTATAGTTTTGGATTCGTGTCACTTTGGTCCCTGACTTTTCAATTGTGACACATTTGATCCTTAATTTTGAATCTTATTCCAAATAAGGACAATTGAATATACCATTCCTTAATTTCATGGATACAATCGTTAATTTGATAAAATATAAACTAATTTGACAAAGATAAATGTCAAAAAAAATATTTTTAAATTTTTAAAAATTATTTCTACCCTCCAAAGATAAAAATATGTAAAATTAATAAATCTTTTAGACATTTATTTATTTTACCAAATTAATTTTTATTATATGTTTAGATGATGATTATGTAATGGCTAGTTGTTAAGCTTTTAATGTGTAATCGATACGTTTAATATATGAAATGTTTTTAGTTTTGAATTATTTTTTTATTTATTTAATGGATTGATTTAATAATGATATCAAAGTTGCCGCTATATTTGACTTTTGAAAAAATAGAAACTAATTTAATAAAAACAAAAACAAAAACAACCACACATTATATGATTATTATCCAAACACATAATAAAAATTAATTTGGTAAAATAAATAAATAAATATCTAAAAGATTTATCAATTTCATATAATTTTATTTTTAGTGGGTAGAAATAACTTTTAAAAATTCAAAAATATTTTTTTGACAATTGTATTTTTGTCAAATTAATTTATATTTTATGAAATTGACAATTTTACTCTTCAAAAATTCAATAATATCTTCAATTGTCTTTATTTGGAACAAAATTTAAAATTCAAGGTCAAATGTGTCACAATTGAAAAGTCAGGAATTAAAATGACATAAGTTCCAAACTATAAGGATTGTTTGTGTAATTCACCCACAATAAAATTATCTTAATTATTAATTGAAATAAAATTTTAATATTATTAAAAATTGTTAATTAACTTGTTGATTTATTAATAAAATGACATATTTATTATGAAATTAGAAATCTTAGAGGGCATAATGTAACTTCCAGAACTACAGGAAATAATTTGTAATTTAAATAAACATTAGAGGATGTATTTATAATTTATCCTAAAAAAAGGCTAAAATTTCACGCATTTTACACTTTAAACCCCAATATTTTAAATTTGACAAGTTAAACTCTATAGTTTTATATGTGTATTAAGGTGACCTCCTTTCCATCTCCTTGTTGGTAAATATCAAAGAATCATTTTGATGAAAAAAAAATATATATATATATATATTCTCTCAAAATTTGAAAAAAAATATATATATATAAAATTAAGTAAAATATAAATATATTTTAGTTACATTTTATCTATATTTTTTTATTATTCATTCTAAATCCCTCATCAAATCCCTAACCAAAAAGAGCATTACAGCCACCAGATGCGGTCAGATCTGGAACCTACTCCGACGACCTCAACCCTCCTCCCCTCCAACAGTCCCCACCCTCGCCGCTGCAGCCTACTCCGACAGTCGTTTCTTTTCTTCTCTCTCTCTCTCTCTCCCACCAGATGCGATCAGATTTGGAGGGGTCACATACATTGCACTCCGAAACTTTCCAAACATACTTCCTACAGAGATACAGTAGACAATAGATACACGATGTCCTTCACTTTTCAATCTATTCTTAGTCTACACATATAGGGAGAGAACTCATTGGTATTGGTTATGGAAGCTCTGTTCTCTATTTGTATTTCTTAAAATGGGTTTTGAATTTCCTTCAATTTTGCGACTTCAAATGTCAAGACATTGAAGATTTGTTAGATCATCTGGGTTTTCGGTGTCTAGGATATCTAGGATTTGTGTTCCAGAAGATTAAGGTTGAGAATATTGTTGCTGTTGAATTTGATTATCAGTATGTTGGGTTGAGTTCAATGAAAAAAATTAAAAAATGGCCAAACATAAAAGTAGTAAAGTGTTATAATATTTCATCTAATATGATTATTATATTGGATAAAAAATTTGATTGGATAAGAGTTATTTTAATATTTTTATCAAATTTGAGGAAAAAAATGCTTTCCATAATTTTGTGAAACATTTTATGTAAGACATTGGAGATGATTTTTGATGAAGAAAAAAGAAGTTAAAAGAATTGGAGATGAAGTGTAATTCACCCCCTTTGTCTATGACTCGCAAATATATATATAAATATTAACTAAACAAATTAAAGGAGGTTCTAGGTGTGTTGTTTTGTGTGGTGTCTCAAAGTGTACATCTATAGTTCAAATCATTTATCTTGAAGAACAAAACTTGACGTAGAATGAAATTTAGATGGTACTCCATCCAATGGTCAAGCCTCCTCTTATTTTCACCTTAATCAAGTATAATATCATATTAGAACAAGTTTTATGTTCCATTTGTTTCGGTAAAAAGTCTTACCACCTCCACCTCCCCCTCTCCACAACTACTATCACCGCCATCACTTCTAGTACATAACCAATTTTTCAACAAGCATATGGCATATTAAACTACAACCCGCTTTTCTGGGACTCGGAAATAAATTGCCTCCCCACCCTGTCCTCTTACTTGAATACGACTAATAAAGATATGCCTACAAAAGACCAAACTCTTTTTGAAGACTACTATCAACTGCACCGACAGCTCTCCTGCACACTTCATTTTGTAGCTCAAATATGTGTAGAGACAGTATTCAGTAATTTTCACAACCTAATTATTTATATATAAGTGAACGTTCCAATTAGATAACAAATGTTTTGCCATTAAAAGTAATTTATTAATATTTACAAGTTATTAAGCTCAACATAGTTCTTAAAGACTTTCTATTTCGATGAATGTAAGATATACTTACACCAGTAATATTTACAAGTTATTAAGCTCAACATAGTTCTTAAAGACTTTCTATTTCGATGAATGTAAGATATACTTACACCAGTATATATTTGGGTTTCATATTTACAAGGCCGAGGAATTTATTTAGCTCATGGAATTATCACGATAGCCCTTATTTTGGCCTATTGTCCGTCTTGAGAAAGCGAACATATTCCTGCTGCTGCAACATCTCCCCTCCATTAACAGGATCAAAACTGCACCTGTAGAAACTGGTCACAAGGCCAAAAAAGAATCAAGAGTAAAATAAAGTTAATTTAAAAATAAAAAAATTGACGAGAGAGTGAAACCGTTCAATCTGACTAAAACACTTAACAATACTGCTAAATTATCATTTTTGTTGCCCATTGTAAATACTCAATATTTTTTAACCTTCCAGAGCATATAGGAAATAATATTATTTCTTATTTCTTATTTTCATAACTTGCACTAAGCTTGGGCAGAAAGCCTAGTTTTTGGTGGAGAGCATGAGGGAAAGGAAGAGAAAGGGTGGAGAGGCCAGTTTTCCACCCGAGGGCCCAAAATTCTTTCCATCCAAAAAAGGGCATAACGGGGGCAGGGACACACTCCCCACTTTTTAAAAGTTTGAAATGATTTTTGGTCCTTTACAAGTTGCAACTAATCAACTTCAAATAAAGTGAGGGTAAAACAGTAAAAGGACATAAAGTCATAAACCCATCTCTTTCGTTCCTCTTTTCCTTTTCATCTTACCAAACAAATTGATGAAAACCAACGATCCCTTCCCTCCTATTTCCTTCCTACAAAACATAGCATTAGTGCAAAAACCACATCTCCATGCAAAGAAAGCTGAAGTGTATGAAATGTCAGAAAACCTCACATGAGCAAGCATACAATTGCATGGTTGAACTGGACTGATTTGGCATTTTGGATGCAAAATGCTTTAGTCAAATCTTGCTCTCAAAATGACCTATGTTCAGGAGATCTTTTATTGAAGAGAAAAATGAGAAAGGACAGAGGTCAAATCCTTGTGATGATCTACTGAAGTCCTTCAACATCACACTTTTAAAATTGAAATTGGAAGGGCATCACATTCTTATTTTTGATAAGTGAAACTAGAAGGGGATCATGCTTCAACCATTCGTCATATATCTTTTCTGTTTATAACATCAAGGCGATGTGCATAATAAGAACAAAGGTTTTGTTGAGTTGACTCAAGCCATTTTCTAGCGACATATTTACAGCAGTGTAAGTAAACAAAAGAAAGAACACAATTTCATTACTCCCATAAAAAAAAAATAAAAAAAATCATACCTCCCATCCATGCCAACAATAATGACAGTGTTCTGAGATCCAAATGCTGCAATGAATTCGGTGTATTCTGGTAAGTGAAACTGGGCAAATGACCATTCTGAGCTAAAATACTTTGGTAACACCCCTAAAAGAGCACAGAAACAAGAGAGTTTGGAGGCAACGTCAAAACAATCCCTCAGATATGAATTATTTTGGAGACCCCTAGTACTGGAAAAATGAACAAAGTTTGGACAAAACCTATCAAGCAATGGTGTAGTAACAAAATATACTGCTGGTTAAACAGCAGTTCAACTGGTAAAAATAAGGGCCAGAAGATGTTTACAAATTCAAAGTCTTTTTTTTCTTTTTTTCTCCTTTTTTTTGAGACAATTTAAAAAGAGTCTAGTTCAATTTAGGTGATTCTTGGCAATTTCATAGAAAAAGAAACAGTGGTATGTCAAAATAATAAAATATTAAAGTCACAATAGTCATAAATGGGCTTTGTACAATGGCATGCCTTAATTCTTAAACCCTTAATGCAAACCATACAAAACATAGAAATTTTTTGATAGTCATTCCAAGCTTGAGGTCAGAAATAACTTCTGGATAAACGTCTCTTACCTTTCATAAAAGACAATGATGAACCAGGATTGGCACTAGTACTTGGAGAAATAAGAGCATCAAGGGAAGATGATGAATTGTGGGAAACCATTGCTGGACTTTGAACAGCACTTGAACAAGTAGCTGAGTCCTCTCCCACAACCCGAACTCTGAGGCTGAATAAATGCACAGTACCCTTGTCACTTGACACAGCCAACCACTGGACATTAGGAGAGAGAGCAATACTAAAAATATCTGCCTTTTCCACTCCTCTGCGTACCTATTCAAAGGCAACAACATTTAGGTAACAGGGAAAAATTGCAAATGCAAAAAAAAAACAGAACCTAGTGGAGACGAACAGAGTACACCAGAAACTTATAGGCAAAGAGAAGTGGGATGAGGTTGTGGTAGGTCTAATGTTCAAATCTAGCCCAGAGGCTAAGAAAGTAATAAATAGATCACTTAGAAACATGAATTACTATCGTACACAAGACAACAACATGTGGGTCCACTTGCACCAGAATGTGGTACGATACTGAGCAGGATTATAAGCTTCTGCACATTTCTCAATTAAGTTAGGGAGTGATAAAGCAACTTTAAGCAAGACCAGATTTTCAATTAATGGCTCGAAAATGATACATGCAACATTTATTTTTAGCATGCACATGATTCCTATTCCTGTCGCTACATAGTGACTGACCTCTTACAAAAGGCCCATACTTCTAGGGGACACAGTGCACTCCCAATATCCCATATAGTGAGTCTTAATTTCTTATTTCATCTTGATGCAGGTCTTGCTCAATATGCATAAAGACATTACACAATTTCTTGATCTTCACATAAAGAGTAATCTTAAGTTTGAAGAAGCAAAGAGAATATAAGCTAATTTTAATTAAGTTGGTGGTCTCCAACCATGATGCTAAAAAGGCATGGCACTAAAATGGAAAGAAGGAATTTCCATTATTTATTGATTAGTTCCAGCTATATGGTTGGAATTTGGAAACATATTAATCCAGCAACTAACACAAAAGGAATGAAACTCTCTATAGAAAGACCAATTTTGAAGAAAAGAAAGGGAAATGGAAAAGAAATACAAGACCATCCAGCACAGTACCTCCTGTAACCTGGTCCCATCCATTGTGTTGAAAATTCTTATCAAAGTTCCTTTTGTACTAGCAGTCGCAAGAAGAAGTCCATCCATTGTTAAGTTTAAGCATGCTATTTGTGAATCATGAGCATTTATTAACTTGGTCATATTAAGACCAAAGTGTTCAATCCGAACCTGCCCTCGTCGTAGACCTGGGCAAGCCAAGACAGATGTATTCAAGTTCTGTGAAAGGCAACAAAGTCCCCTGGGGTTGGCCAGAGTTTCTATCTGATGAAGAAGCTTCAGATCCATAAAATTGTAGACATATATCTTGTGCTCAAGAACAACAACAATGCGATCCCGTCTTAGTTTCACTGCACGAACTTCAGACCTAAATGAAAATTCACCAATGCACCGGCTCTGATGATCGTCCCAAATTATAACTTTATTAGGAGGGTACTGGGAATTGGCTTTACCACCAACAAGTGCCAGAATGTTGGACCGAAACAACATCTCAACAATTCCAAATCCTCCGTTTTTCAAATCACGTCTGAAAGTTTCCTTGAAAGGATCACAATTATAGATACGAAAACCACGGCTTGTTCCAGCTGCGAAGCAACCGTAGTCTTGATTCCAAGATACAAAGAGCAATTCTGTTTCATCATTGTCATTGAACCCTGGTTCTATCTGGCTAAAAGGACCAGAAACCCCAGATTCACAGGTATCAAGCCTAGCTGGTGGAAGTATTCCTCTAGATGTTGAAACAGTAGAACTCATGGGGGACGAGTGGATGTTCGTAAGCATATGAAGTAATCAAACACTGCAAAAATACAGGACATACGAAGCAAGAACAACACAGGTAAGACTCCACTATAATAATTACGAAATTCAAACTGTGATTCAGAAAGCAACACTATAAAAACCTATCTACTATTTGCCTGATTAGTCTAGATGCTGCTAACCCCAAAATTTTCATAAAGATTCAACAGACATGTAATGTAACAAACTGAGGAATAAATAGCCGTATTTTCACTGAGATAGTTTTTATTTTCAAGATCTCAACACATCTGTATTGTTCAAAATATTTTATAACATTTTATAAATTTTTACAATTTATATGAAAAGATAACGTATTTTGCTATGTGTTCATCGATATATCCTTATTTATCAAGGCTGCATCCTTGAAACAACTATTACCAAAGCAAGCATGTCTCCATTCACAATCCATAAATTGTCATGCAGGTGCATAATCACCTCTTTCTAGAATGGCAAAAGTTTTTTTATTTGCAAGACGAAAGATGTTGCTCCTGAAGTCTGACTCTTGGGAGTTGGGACTATCTTGTGGCTAGGTGGAGTATGGAGCTCCAAGGTAACAATTTCATTAATGAAGTTAGCTGCAAGGCAATTGGAGCTTTCATATACTGTATTTGGATGGAAAGAAAATTTTGACCCTTTCATAATAATAATAAAAATGAAGGATCTTTATTGTGAGACATGGTTTTTATATTACGGATTATTTTTCTGGGTACTAAAGTGTTTTTAATTCTTCATCTGCTAGGGAGAATTGCACTAGTTGGTCCGTCTCAGTTTGGCGGTGTAATTCTCTAAGATAATGGGTAGTGCAGCTGCATTTGTAGTATAGTATTGTTCAGATCAGATGTATATAGTCTAGTGGGGTCTTTTGTTCAATGTGGTACATACCTCATTCGTGGATCTTTAGGTTTCTAGTTGAGTGCCATTCCCTCTACAAATTTTTATTTTATTTTATTCAAAGGTATATGAAATTCCTTTTTAATTCCCTAATAGTTACTTATCTACATTTGACAATGTGAGAAGGAGAGTGTGGGTAAGAAAGGTTAGAGGCGATCGGTCGTTGACCTCTAGGAAGATGGCGGGCACTTTAATGGCTTGAGATCACCGGAGGTGGAAGAGGAGAAGACCAAGGCAGGTTTAGAGAGGATAGGGATGGCAGTGAGAGACCTTGAACACTTTGTATATGTTGTTGCATGATTCTTGTTGTTCTTGTGAGAAGGAGAGAAAATAAAAGAAGAGTAAACATAAGATTTACATCCCATGCAATAAGTGTTCAATAAGAGACTTTGTTATGGAAGTGCATAATCATAGTAGTTATTAGGTCCATGTGGGTAGAGACTAGAGAAGACCAAAAGTACATTAGAAGATCTTTACTAAGACATTCAGCAAGTTCCTTAGAGGGACAAATTCACATTTTGCCCTAAGGTTTCAGAGGAATCCCCAAGTTTACACCCGTCTTCCTTGTAAAATCAGCCAGAATTGGTTTGCTAGCTCCATTCCAAATGTTTTCCATACAGCCCCAGCTATAGCCTCTTCTCCTTGAGTTCCCCAAGCATCACACACTCCACCTTTGATTCACATTCCCACTAGACATTACAGGATTGGTATACATAGTAACTGCAAATTAATATTTGTCTATCCTTCCCTTTGGTTTGGGTCATCCTTACTAAGATGGGTTGCTCATCTACAAATGTGTTGCTGATGAAAATGTCCCAAATGGGTTTGTACCCTCTCCACATAGTGAGCAGTTCTTCCATAGTGATTCATTGGATTAACCACAAACTTAAAGAAACATCCGAGAGCTTAGTTAGCAACTGCACAACAAGATAATTGACCCCATACAAAAATAGTAACATCATTATCTCACTGCCATCTCACATAACTTCTCACAACTAAACCGTCTTCAGATTACCCTATACATTTATTTCTAAACGCATCAACCTAAGCAAGCTCATATGCATTCACCCTATATATGAACAAATTGAAATGACAATTCATAATGCAATATGCTAAAATTACATAAGCATATTTATGGCAATGCCGCTTTCTTTCTTGCTCCCAAACGAACAAACTAGTTTATTGGCTTGTTGAATGATTTCATCCATCCCATATAAAGAAACAAAACTGATAGTTCTAAGAAAATGAAGGGCCTGTTGAGCAAATTGATAATAAAATTGTCTCTACCTCTAAAAGCTTAAACATTCAGCCAACTTGTCAGTCAACAATTTAACATGGTATCAAAGCAGACAATAGATCATTATCCGAACCTCACTGCATACCAGATAATTATAATACTTAAACGTGTTTGGTCTACTTATGTATGAGATTCAGGCTACATGTGAGGCGCGTGTTGAGAAAATTGACCTCTAACATCTTTAAGCTTTTAAATGAGGTGGTCAACAAGTTTTTTTTTTTTTTTTTCGATCTCCGATTTTCCGGGCCAGCGACTAATCCCGGGCCTGAAGATAACGGGCAAACCTGCAGTAGCCTCAAGGTTTGGGATTGGCCTTCATGGGTTCGAATTTTAATTATGCCAAACACAATTGCACATAAATTCGAATTTTAAAGAGAAGATTCCATTGCAATCCAAGTGAAGAGTTTTAGTTTACCAAAGGAACTAATACACTTTTACATAGCTTAAGTCAACATGAATTTCAGAGACAAATATACATAAATCAAGGATTAAATCGTGAAGAAATTAAAGGAAATCAATGAAATCTCTTACAATTTTTTGATGATTAAATCCCTCGATTTCGTGAATCGTTCATTCTTCAGCATAGACGGCAGCGTCAACGACTTTGCTCGATCAGAATTGTGGATTGCAAGTAGTGTTTTTCTACATTAACAAAGTGTTTCTTATAGTGAACTCAGGAAAAAAAAATAAAAAATAAAAAGCGTGAATTTGTGGACATTGTAATCTGATAGAAAAGCTGAATCGAAATCGGAATTTCAGTGTGGATCTTCACTTTTCGGGTGCTATTCAACCACGATCTTGAGTTCGTGTGAGCTCAAAGAAGGAAGAAAAAAAAGTGAGAGCACCGAGAGAGAGAGAGAGAGAGAGAGAGAGAGAGAGATTTGTGTTGGAAGCCGATGGTGAATGATGCATGCGAAGAAGCTTAGGAGAGATTATTCTGAGTCTGAGATGACGACACGTTTATAGGAGTAATTTTGGGTATAGGATATATATGATATGGGCATCTTCCATTTCTATTCAATAATGATTGAGACATTATTTTTTTTATTTTTGTTTGGAGGCTTCATAATACTCTTTAAATCTCAATCATCTGCTTCATAACACTTTTTAAATTTCAACCATTAATGATATAAGCCTCACACATATATATGAGTAGGTTTTATATATATATATATATATGATTAAGATCCAAATAAAGTAGTGAGGGTCTAAAAAAAATAGAAATTCCAAACATTTTTCTTGTTTTTTGACGAGTAAGATTTATTATATTTATGTTGAGAGTTTCCAAATAATAAGAAAATATATATTTGTAATTATTGGAGGGTAGTGCCATTTATTATAATATTAGGATTCGTTTGGGAAGTGGATTAGTTTTTTAGTTTTATGACTTTTTGACTATTTTAGCCTGGAGATAAAATGTCTCGTTTGTGTTGGCTTTTTGGCTTTTCGAAGGGTATTTTTGTGAATGTGAGCGTGCCAGCAAGGATCAATCAGTCCTTACAGAAATTGTGATTGCCAACCAATTATCAGACGATTGTGTTTTAGTTCTTTTCAGCCTCAATGAAGAGGACTTTTACTGGTGGCTTGATTTAGGAGAAGTTAATAGAAAATAACGGTAATATGAAGAACAATTGAAGTATTTCATAAAAATGAACACTTACAATGGTCCGAACTCAGCCTCAGAGAGGTTTACAACAGCAATCTACTTGAATCTACTTGAAGCTACTCCTATGAATCGAAGTGCAGTGCTGGTATTTAAAGTGCAGGTATTTAAAGAACAGGTATTTAAAGACTGGAAATGTAAATGACTGGAAAAGAAAAATATATGAAGTAAATGACTGGTTTGTATGATCTGAGTCCGTCCTTTTTCCTGGGGCTGCTCTGCTATTTATACTCGTCAGTGATGACCTTCGAACTGCACTTCGATCCGTCGAACTGCTCCTCCATGATCGCTGATCATGCTTCCTTAAAAGTAGCTCCATTACGCCATTACTGGCAGTTGAGCTTCCCTCTTGTACTGGATTTGAATATGAGTAACCGTTGAAGACACGTCATCTTGCATCCCGTTATTTGATCTAGTGTTACTCAGATCATGTGAGGACCAATATTTATTGCCACGTGTACGATCAGGATTAAAGGCTTGAATAACCTTCCTTTATTACCCTTACTATGCCACGTGTCGAACTGCAACTGGCTTTTACAAAATATGTAGCCAACAGTTTGAAAATGATTTTTTAATTTTTTTGAGTTTTTGTAAAAGAAAAAATATAATAATTATAGATTAGATATGATATTTTGTCTTATTAAACTACAAAACTTATTTTATATTTTTATGATTAAAATTGCCTCAAGTCCAAACCAACTCTTCTTTTCAAACGAAGCCTTAATATGCAAAAAAAAATTCATTTGTAGGGTACTCATTGTTTTTACAAATTATATTAACACCCTATAAATTTTTGAAATTAACAAAACCATCCTTTTGAGTTTCTAAAAAGACAAATTACACTAACAGTCTCTATAGTTTGGGACTCGTGACACTTGGATCCCTGACTTTTCAATTGTGACACATTTGATCATAAATTTTGAATCTTGTTCCAAATAAGGACAATTAAAGATACCATTGTTTAATTTCAAGGGTAAAATCGTCAATTTAATAAATTATAAACTAATTTGACAAAAATAAATGTCAAAAAAATATTTTTAATTTTTCAAAAATTATTTTTATCCATTAATGATAAAATTATGTAAAACTAATAAAAATTAATAAAAATTACATGATTAATTTTACATGATCATCATCCAAACACATAATAAAAATTAATTTGTAAAAAAAATAAACAAATGTTTAAAATATTTATCAATTTTACATAATTTTATTTTTAGTGGGTAGAAATAATTTTTTAAAACTCAAAAATATTTGTTTGACATTTATTTTTGTCAAATTAGTTTATATTTTATCAAATTGACGACTTTACCTTTAAAAAATCTAATAATATCTTCAATTATCTTTATTTGGAACAAGATCCAAAATTACGGATCAAGATATGTCACAATTAAAAAATTAAGAATCACAATGACACAAATCCCAAATTATAAGAACTATCAGCGTAATTCACCCTTTCTAAAATTACATCCAAACTCTTATTCTACCTCACAAAATACTCCTTCCACCACCCCTTAATTAGTTAAGGGGTTAGATTGTCCTCAGTTGAGTATTTTAATTGTACGGACTAGTTCGGCCTATTTTGAGCTAATTTTGAATTCGTCTCAATAATTTAAACTGTTAATATATAGGGTTCGTCAAGTACTTTATCTTTATAAATTATCAGATTGATCAGATATCAATAAACATTTGATCAATTTACATTTGTGTCAACAATTTATTTTTAAAATCATATTTATCGTTAACACAAATTTGATTTGATCAAGTAGCTATCAATATTCGATCAACGTGATTTTTTACAGAGATAAAAGTAGTCAATGAGCCCTACACATTGAACAATTCGAATTATCGATATGCGCTCTGTAGGCCTACAAAGTCCCAACAGTATGCTCCAATTCGATTTCGGATTGGAAAGAAACCACTGCCATTAACTGACACACCAAAAAGAACTGATATGACCAACTTAAAATTTTAAGATAAAGGCTTCGTTTGGAAAGTCAAAAACTATGTTTTTTTGACTATTTTAGTCACAAAAATAAAGTAGATTTTTTAGTATAATAAGACAAAATATTACATCTAACTCATAATCATTATATTCTTTCTCTCACAAAAAAATCAAAAAAATCAAAAAAGCCAAAAGCTCTTCCCAAATCAGACTTTTTAACCTCAGGCTAAAATAGTTAAAAAAGCTAAAAATTGAAAAAATTAACTCACTTTCCAAACGAACATAAAGTACCTTGACATCCATTAAAGTTTATTATAATTATAAACACTTTCCTCCAATTTTTTGAAATTATATTGCCCTCTCTATCGAACATATTTACTCCATTGATAGATAATACACTTATTTATTCAACTATGATTCATAAAAAGACAAAATCTGACAAGGTATAACAGTATGCCTGGTAACACTTGATTCATCTTAACATTTATCTTCTTCACTATTATTACTGCAAAACCTTAAAAACTTTACCACCACTACAAAGTCCCGCTATTCCACCTCCACAACCACTAACACCATAACTCTACAGCCATTGCTAGCCCCATTATTGTTGCAAAACCTAAACATCCAAATCTTTCATCCACTACAATCACCACCAACCCTGTACAATCACTACCATCACAAAACAAAAACAAAAAAAAACACACACGAGCACGCAAAACCAAACGTATAAAACCCCACTTCTCTCACAATCACCACGATTGCAAAAGCCACACAATATCACTATAAGTCCCCACAACTCAACCATTTTTGACCATGTCGACTTTAGATGTTGTCGGCCTTTATCAGATGCTTGCAATCAACACCTCAATCAGCGCCACTACAAAAACGCAGAACCTTTCTTAGATGTTGTCGCAGCCACCTCAATCAATCCATGCCTCAATCATTTTACAACCTCATAATGCAAACTTGCTTGAGAAGTAGCACACAATCAAAGAATTTCAATAAACCAAGTCCCTCACGGGAATTTCATCAAATCGCTTTTGCACAATCTGAATTAACCCATTTACCGCATACAATCTAATGAGATTGGTACAACAAAATTAACCCAAGGGTTGTGACACTTTGGTAAGACTTTGGGACATAAGTCTTGAGGTCTCAGATTCTATACTCTCAAGGCTAATTCCTACAAAAATGCTTGAGATCACTAATAAATGATAGTTCTAATGATGTGGTAGTGAATCTCACCACTGCCACAGTGTTGCTGCGCCCTTTCTTCTTCTTCTTCTTTTTTTTTTTTTTTTTTCGAGGTTGCCACATCAGTAAAGCTCTTATTAGAGCTCTACTATTAGAGGTCCCTAGCACTGTCGTTAATTCCTAAGGGTTTGGTGCAGTGGTTCGAGGACGGTTCTCTAAGTGCTGGATAAACCGTATCCAAGGCTTAGGTGTGTGGTCGAATCTTGACAATTACACTCTCTGACTTAAATAGTGTGTGTTGTGGAATCAGTGCACACATCCGAGATTTGCCCTTTGTCCTATTTCAGTAAAATTGACATTAGGTAATTAATTCCGAAATCAATAGAAAACAGACTTGGAGAGTTTACTCGTTAACCAAAAAGAGATTTGTACAACAATAATTTCTACACCATACCCAATTCGTATAATCAATTTGGGAACATCTTTCACATTTGGTTTGGACCTTCATTTTCTCATAAAGCCTTAAGCAAGAAAGACAAAATGACATTGTTGGGGAAAAAGATTAGATTGTGCAATGATTGAGATTCAGGTCTTTGATGGTTGATCAAGATTTATGTGATTTGGGTCTTCAATAAGAGACACTGGATTTTGGTTGTAAAAGGGAATGAAAGAAATGGGTTGTTGTGGGGGTTATGACATGGGCATGTGATTGTGAGGGGCTAGGGGTGAGTTGGGAGGGTATTTTTGTTGGCTGGGTTTGAGAGGGCAAAATGAAAATTAAACGTGAACAAATTAATTATCTCATAGGATGTGTTAGTCAAATTAATAGAAGGGGAGAAAGTGAAATTCAAAAATGAACTGTAGGGAAGTTAATGTCATTTCAAAAATTTAGGGAGAGGTTTTTATAATTATTATAAACCTCAGGGAGATCAATGTATTTTATTCAAAATTTTAGGAGAAAATTACAAATCAGTGGAAAGTTTACAAAATATTTACATATTAATAAAAAAAGT